ATTCAGTGAAGATCAGACGCTCTAGAGCAGCTGCAGTGTGTTTGGTGCTGCTGGCTGCAGTCATATGGCCATGTGTCCACATCCATACAAACAGCACAAACTACACAGAAGAGACACACCAGCTACAAACCAAGATTAACAACCTCACAGAAGAGAGAGATAAGCTACTAACCAAGAACATAAACTTGACAAATGAAAGGGATGGATTATTAACTAGCATGATGACAAACTGACTAAACAAAGAGCAGTTTAATCAGGAGAGAAATAAACTGGTGAAGAGTCTTCATGAAATAGGTCATCTTAAACTTTATCAATATACTATAACAAGAAATATAATTCATCCATACTTCAGTGTAAGTGGGAATAAATAATTAATAGCTGAACTGGTTGTTTACAGATGGATGGTTATACTACACTTAAATCCAATAGTTTACTTTACTTAGATATAATTAGTTATCTTTACTTAGTTGTTATACTTGCTAGGTTTTATTAAGTTACAGCTAATCTCAAGGCGAAAAAACAACAACTATTTACTGCTTTGAGTGACACGTACTTAAAAAAAAATCAAGTAGCCACAAAAAACCCAGTGACATTAATACACCAGTGAGAGGCAGCAGTGCACAAATTTGTTGTTAATGTACAACAGAATAACAGAAGAAATAAGGAAGGTTAGAGCATGCGCAACAAGCAACGTTTTGAATTTGTGCTTAAGAATGATGACGTTTGGCTCAAGTTAATTGGCGCCGACTTTGCTGAACCTGGGAAAAGAAGCAGAGCGACTGCTTGCATTTTTACCACTGGACAAAGATTGATTCCGTCTATACAGGAATAATATCAAAATGATAAAAATTCAAAATTATCACAAAATAATAAAAAAAAATTTGTCTGCTGCTAACTTTAACTGACTTGGGCCTACTCTGTGTCTACACCGGACACGAGTGGCGTGACACAACAAAAGACATAGAACTCATTATAATCAGTCATTCTATTCACACTGGATGCGGGTATTTGCAACGCTTGCTTTATAGTGTCCAGTGTGGACAGCTTCTAGCTGAGGGTCTTATCTAGCGAAATGACCGGTCATTTTCTTTAAAAAAATAAAAAGTTCAATAGTTTTTAACCACAAATGCTCATCCTGCACTAGCTCGACTTCACGCATTACGTAGTCACGTTGGAAAGGTCACGCGTGACATAGACGGAAGAGTCGACCCAGTGTTTATAAAGCAAACTTGTAAAGAAAGGCTGCATCTGAAAGCCTAGGCAGTTGACTTCTTCTTCAGAATTTTTGGCATATACCGCCACCAACTGTTTATATTCATACATGGATGGTCCCATCTCTATTCAGGCAGCTGACTTGCTGCCTTGCTGCCCCATTAGGCAATGATTTTGCAGGCAGCGTTTTTGCACGAAGGCACCTCATGAAACTGATTTCGGACAGGCTTCAGCTGAGGCAGCGTAACGGTTTAATGATCTACAACAAAATAGTACGAGTTTTGGTGATAACTAAACGAATATTTAATTACTATAATACTGATTTCTCACTAGAACTAACATCAAAAGTGCAAAAAGTTAGTCACAAATATACATTTAAACACAAACTGACCACCAAACGCAACTTTCAGACGCCATCTTTATTTTATAGCTCAAGCATCACGGAATGGAACGCACAGGATTGTGGGATATCAAAGGCAGTGAAGGATGTATGCAGCCTTCAGAAATCGAACAGATGAAGGTATCTCATGAGACAGGTAGTGAAGCTAACTAGATTCGGATGTGCGTCCTCCTAAGGCAGCATTTTAGAGCTTTCGGATGCAGCCCAAGTCAAACGCCCTTTACAAAAAGCAACAACAAAAAAACAAACCAACAACGATGTCGGACGATTTGGAAGTTGGAGGAGAAAACTGGATAGAGTTTTTCGCCCTACCCTACCTTTTTGAACCGGAGTACACAGACGAAGAGCTAACCATCCATCAAAGCTTATTTAGATTATGGAAGCTTCGGATAGATGTGGGATTCTGCTGGCTCATGTACATATAAAAGGAAATGAGATAGCAGATAAAATAGCATAAAAATCAACCAGGACGAGTGATGTTATCAATATTCCATTTGGTAAAGCAGAAACTAAGGCAATGATCAAAAAAGAAATGAAGAAATGGCAAGAAAGGTGGGATGTGGATAATAGTGGAAGAAAATACTACAGTGTACAGAAATCAATGAATGCAAAGGGTGTGAATAGAAGGAACAGAAAGGAGGAATCACTTTTAACTAGATTGAGGTTTGATCACGGATTAAACAACAGTATTTTTATTAGGCAAAAGTCAATCAGATGAATGCTTGGAATGTAAAATCACAGTAAGTGCACAGCATATATTATTACATTGTAGGAAATATAAGGAGGAGAGGAATAGACTAAAGCAAAAGATGTCAGACAGGAAGAAAATGGTACCTTTAAGGGTGTATTGGGAACAACAGGAGAAGGGGTTAAGGATACACATAAGCTGTTGTGGAATACCGGAAGGATATAAGCCTAGTGATATATTATAGAATTTAGAAGTTTTTTTTCTCTCTTTTTATTATCACTATGTAAAGAAATATAATCGAATCATAATCCATTCTACATACTCAGTACAGTAGGTGGCGGTATGCACCGGGTAAGTCATGGTTGTAATCTGACATAAAACTAAAGAAGAAGAGCTAATCGGGCGTGACCTTTCCAACGTGATTACTTAAAGGTGCAGTAGGAGATCTTGGAAAATGCTAACTTTAGCCTGATAGCACTGAAAGCCAAGGTCCCACCCTCCCTGCAATCGCTGTCCAAAGCCACATTCCCGGAACGCATATACGCACACTCACAGACCAGAATACCAGAGACAACATTACTACAATAGGCTACATCAGCGGTTCCCAATTCCAGCACATGTTCCGAAGTTAAATAAACTTCAACGGATTTCCCCCGCTCAGGGAGCAATGAACACTGTGTTATCATATCAATCGTAACACAGTTCATGTACGTAACTCTCCCCTGGGCTGCCTACATCATGTGTCATTCACCGGTGAGAAAACTTTAAAAGTACTACAATTCCAGGAAGGAAGATTGGGTTGTTGATGTTTGTCTGCCATCCTCGCTCTGTCTGCACAGCGTGCATGAACGCGCTGATGACGTATCCTGTCTGCGCGAACCGGGTGTGCAGAGGTATGCTAATACAAACATTGACAAGCAGGTAGGAAAGCCAATTAAAACGCTCGGACCGAGCGCTTTGATTGGATGAACATTTCTTGGTCCTACGCCTTCCACAGAATATATAAATACAAATAAATACATTTAGACCACTTAACTTAATGATTGCTATCGGGATGTGAAGAGACTTTCAACCAGCATAACAAAAAAAATGTTTCTGAAGACAATCACCTATTGCACCTTTAATGCGTGAATTTGCGGATGCGCATCGCGGAGCTCATGCATTTGTGGTTAAAAAGTATATAATTTATATAAATATATATAAAAAAAAGTTTTAAATTTGTTTTTTGAAAATTACCTATTGTTTTGCTAGATAAGACCCTATTCCTCGGCTTGGATCGTGTAGAGCCCTTTGAATCTACATTAAACTGCAATTTGGACTTTCAACCCGTTGGCCACCATTGAAGTCCATTATATGGAGAAAAATCCTGGAATGTTTTCCTCAGAAACCTTAATTTGTTTTGCGACCAAAGACAGAAAGACATGAACATCTTGGATGACATGGGGGTGAGTAAATTATCAGGATTTTTTTATTCTGGTGAAGTGAAGTTAACTAATGCTTTAAACAATAGTTTAAAACAAAACATGGTTTGTAGTACTGATTATTGACGTCCATCTGTGCGTCTTCCATGCCGCTTAACTCTACTTGACACAGGAGTGCTGGATGATTACTGATGTACAGCAGGGTATATCAAAGTAAAGAGGTTTGGAGAACGTTCTGGGAACGTTCCCTGTTGGTTAGCAAGGAAAGTTTTCTTAACGTAAATAGAACGTTCCCGTTAGGTTAGGGGAACGTTCCCGGAACCTACCAAGAATGTTCTGGGAACTTTCCCCTAACCTAAAAGGAAAATTCTATTTATGTTAAGAAAACTTTCCTGGCTAACCAACAGGGAATGTTCTGGGCACCAAAAACTAACATTCCCAGAATGTTCTGAGAACCAAAAATTGTTAGCTGGGATAAAGCTGTTTGGAAGTGACCTCTGATTAATGGTTCACACCAAGAGCGATAACTGTAATAATATAGTTTTAAAAATCATAAATTCAGAAGAATAGCAAGAGTCCACACCACAACTATAACGATAATGACACAGAGGAACAATATTGTTGGAATCACTTTCAAAACTATTATTTTCCAGCTGATGAATAATAAAAAGAGACAGCCGATCAGAATCCACTCGAATTTAAAGAGCTTGAGCATTTAAAGTGACATATGTTATATAGGATGTTATATAAGTGTGTGCTTAATAGAGCAAAGAGTAAGAACTACAGTTACATAAAAAGAACTCCTCAAGTAACATGCAATACCACTATTAAACCATAGATGATAATAGAGAGAAATTTTGTGAAAAAACATTTCCTTTTGAACAAGAAAAAAAAAGGTTTGTTACATGATTTTGAAAATGAAGTGATGGAAATATTATGTATGTGTGGTGCAATATTATGCAAAATTAAATCAAACACGCACACATAAAAAGCATTATTTCTAAACAAAACAAAACAAATGCAGATTGTTCTTTTAATTTTAAAACTTTGTCCAACAGGGGAGGAAAAAAGGTCTGTCAAATCAATAAAATTACAATTTATTTTATCATCGCATCGCAGTCTGAGGAAAGTATCTCCACAAAGGAGGGTTACCTACTTCTTTCCAACTGCCAATACAAATAAAATAACTAAAACCTTCCTAACTATCATGCACCTTCTCTTCTAGTTTACCTAGATTGTTAGACTTAAACAAACAAAGCATATGAGAAACCTTCCAAAAGTCATGCTCACCAAGAAGATGCAAAACAACAAAAAGAACAAGCTTGTGGCACAAAAACGCAAACATGACGACAGGAAATGATAACAGGATGCCGTATCAAACATGATTAAGGAAACGAGGCACAAAGTTCATAAGAGTTGAGCTCTCAGTTGGTTTTGGCAGCTGTGTTCGAGGAGAAGTAGATCCTCAGGTAGACAATGAAGACCAATGGAAACATGTTCACACATCCAAAATACACTTTAAAAAGAGGCAAAACACTACTAGACTTGATGATAATTCACTTAAGTGTTAAATACACAAATCCTGCTTCCAACGATGAGCACTGCGATGTTCATGTCCAGGATAACACAGTCACCTGTGGTGCTGGAGTGTTAGTGTTCACTAAATGTGCGTGACTATGACTGTAAGTGTGCCTGGATAGTAGCTCACACAAGAATTACAATTCTGCCATCATTAAGCAACCTTTTGTATATGGAGATATTTTAAAGATATCCAAGCTGCCCTTTTCCAGTTTATCTCCATGAACTTTCATAGTGCAGAAAAGAGCAGCACAGACATTGTTCAAAGCTTCTTCTTTTGTGTTACACAGATAAAAGAAAAACAAGTTTGGAACAACATGAAGTTGAGTAAATAATGACAGAATATTCTTCTTTCTTTTTTGAGTTATTCCTATAAATTGAAGAAAGTTTTCTCTTGCACTGAAGTCCTCAAGCTAACAGCATGGGAATGCTATAAATCAGCAAGAGACTGAGAAGTATGAAAGTGTTTAACAAAATTCCAGAAAGTCTGACACAGCCATGACAGCATGGCAAAACACTAAAGCTGTTGTCAGCAAGATCCTTTCAGCTCTGAATGCTAATGGTAAACTGTGTGGCACTGCAAAGTAGGCTATGTTGTAGAAGCCTAGTAAGAAATCACTAGGTACTGATATGTATGTGAAGAAAAACGAAGAAAACGACACAACAAACACAGAGAAACAAGGACAGATAAAATGACTTTTTTTCATACAGGGATCCATCAGCCCCATCAGACTGGTTTTTATCTATGTTTATGAGATGAAGTATTTAAAAAAAAATGAATATATGCATGAGACAATTAAGTGTAACAGGTATTGCCTCTGTCAGGGTTGTGTAAAAGATTTTGAAAAAGTTGGTATAAAATTGCATGTGATAAAGTCATAAACATATATTATGCCTCAGCTATTAATTTTCTGTCTTTACCAGAAGAGTTTGGGGTCTACGGAGAGGCCTATCATTCCAGAAACACTTCCAAGTCCATCATCCTGGCGTTCCGCCCTTGAAGTCAATAAAAGAACTAAATTGGTAGCATTTGTAGTAATAAATAAAATCTTAGCTTGCACTCAGGCATGCTTATATAACTTCATAAGTCAATATATTTTGGTTGATCCCATTTTGAGGCTGAAAAATGGGGATTCTTTATCACCTGTGAGTGGCCACAGTTGGGTCATGTGATTGGACCAAAACGGGATGTTTTTTGCCTCCTAGTTGAATCTAGCTAGTTCGAGGCTAGCGTGTGCACATTTGGTTTCATGCAATGCCCCACATACTTCCAAATGAACTTAGAGGGGGTGTTAGAACATTCAGAACTGGAAAAGAGATACAGAAAATGATAAACGAGAAAAAAAAGGGCCTGACATGAGGAGAAGTTTATCACTTATGCTTCTCAACCTGGAAAGGCTAAATAAAGGAACTACTAAAAAATGGAAGAAAAGGTGGCTGAAAAGACTAAAAGAAGCAGAAAGGGGCCGCAGGGGCTTCTTCGTACAAACTGCAACCTTCTCCCTAATCCACCTGGGTCTGGCCTGAGGCACTTGATCAGATCGGTGTTCAAATGGAGCTTGCAGGGGGAGTTGTCAGTCTTTTCCCAATGTAGACCCTGTTTTAGAAATGAAAAAGTCAAACACTTCATATGTGGAATATTACACTGTTGTTAAGCTATATAGTAATCAGGTGTGTGAATTGTCTTGGTGGTGTAATATGAATGCTGTTAAGGTGCGGTCACATTTATTGATGTTCTGCGAAGTTTCTGCAAACAGGAATCCAAGCCATTCGAAATTGTAAAAGATTTCCCAGGGCAGACTTCACAACGGTTTTGAGTTTGCCTCGTTAAACTAGCAGAAACCGCTTGCTTTGAAAGTGACTTCTGTGTGAGTGGTGCTTCATACATCACTACATTATTGACAATAAATAATGGATGCATTTTACCACCCAAAATTTTTTAAAAATGTGACCGCACCTTTCGTGTGCAAACAGGTGACCGCCAACTAGCTGTTAGGCGAGCCTATAAACAGCTCACAGACAGTCTGATACTTATCACAAACAAAAAATATAACTTTCAAAATCTGAAAGCTTCAATCTGCTAGCTTTGTGCAACATCCAGAAGTCAGGGTGCTTAGGTTGTTTATTGTTTCAGTTGGAAGCAGAGCTGCGTTTTCAAGGCAGTTCCGAAAAACAAGTTGTGAGATTTGACAAAATTTCATGGTATACTGTCTAGATACTGTACTTTTTTGTTAGAAAGTAATGTGCCCTTCAAATGGCGTTAGAAAAATCGTATTTATGAGTTTCGAGCACAAGAAGGACCAAGCTAATTCGTATGTGACTATGGAAACAAAATTCTCAATGATACATGAGTTGCCAAGTTGTGACATTGGAAAGGGTGTGTTGATTTAAATCAATGCTGAAACACTGATCTATGATATAGATCATATATATATTACATATATATACAAATAAATGTCAGTGAGCAGAAAGCAATTCTGTAATGAATTATAATAATTTGTACATGTATTTCAATCATTTTAAAGATTTGACATAGGGAACAACTTACAGACAACAAGTGTAAAGTTATTTGCTTAACTTTCAAGTTTTGCTTCATGTACCCAAAAAAATTAGTTTTGAAAAGATGTATAAATCTTTTAAGGGGGGAAAATATTTTTCATATATAAATTTTTAGATGTAGTTATTTCACTATTATATCAATATAATTTTTTGTGTTTTGCTTCCATGTTATGCTTTTGCTTTGAATGTGTGACATGTCGTAATAACGAATGCCAGACTCAGATGTACGAATTTCCTAGGTGCTCTTGAAGGTAACATAAACTACATATGTTTGAAATGTGTTTGTGTTTTAAGATGTATCTACCCAAGACCCAGGACCAGGATGTGGGACAGAAGCAGTGACGGGATGAACACTTTGAGGAACTCAGCAGAGAAGATGCCTCCTTTCTTCATGGCTCCTGTCTTCCTCATGCTGAGAGTCACTGAACGCCGCGGGTGCTGGAAATGAAACTCCCTGTCAGAAAGATAAATCCACCCGTCATCACAACAGCATCACACTGCCTGCAGACTTTGACTCCAGCCAGAAAAACAAACTAACTCAAAACACTATAGGTGTGTCACAAAACCTCGTGAGCTCCCCATCTACATTATTACTTGTTAGGGCACCTCTCCTCTCCCACTTCATTTCCTGTCAACATACTATCATGATAAAGTAGAAATGTAGAAAAAATTACTAAAATGCATAATAAATATATAATTTCACTCAGCATTTGTGTCTGCTACTGTGTTTTGGTGCTCATTAGTGTTTTCAAGTGTTAGCCTAGCGACATGCTAATGCTGATATGAACCGATGACGGTTAGTGCTATTCATTTGCTGCACACAAGTGACCTTGACAGAGTGCTCATTAGTGTTTTGAAGTGTTAGCTTAGCAACATGCTAATGTCTGAATCAGCTATTAACACAGTGCTATTAGCTGCTTGTACGAGAGTGACAGTTGCAACCTATGTAGAGCATATAAAATCAAATTTTTTTTGTCAAGATGCTGTCTATTTAGACAAACATTAATTAGCTCACTAGCTTTTGACTGATGCTTGAAAAATCTCTTTGCTTGATCATGGCCTGTGGAAATATCTGTATGCAACAGGGTTGTTACAGTTAAAAAAAACGTTAACTGGAAAAAAAACTAACGCACAAACTACACTAGTGTTAATTTTGTCCGCTATTTTCATTTTAGTCTTAGTCTTAGTCCCGTGTTAAAATGTCCTTGTTAGTTTTTAGTCAACCTTATCCCATTTAGTTTTAGTCGACTAAAAGTCTCAACATTTTAGTCTAGTTTTAGTCAATGAAAACTTGACATTTTAGCAATAAGATTATTATTAATTAACTGTATACAGTATTAATTTTGGCAGCCATTTTTAATTTAGTCTTACTCAAATGTACATTTTAGTTATCATATTTAGACAACCTTGTCCTGTTTTTGTTTAGTCAAGTTTAAGTCAATGAAATGTATGAGCATTTTAGTCAAGTTTTAGTCAGTCAATTAAATCTTAGTCACATTTTCGTCATTCTGTATAATGATTAAACTGATAAAAAAACATTTTTTTCTCAAAATTATAATCATAATGATTGTTGTGATTTGAAAAATTTACTTTTGCATTTCAGATATTGCACTTTCACCAGTAAGCACAAATCAATAGAATGTGGACACATACATGGTGTATTTTACGTCATCTAGTGTACTGATTTATTATAGGCTTTTGCTATTATAAGACTTATACAATCTCTCTGTCTACACTATGAAAACAGCTAAAACAAACGAAAAATAATATAACAGTGAAATTCCTAGTAATTCCAATGGCAATAGACTATTTCTATATTAAAACAACAGCGGTTGAGTAAGTGCACAATCGCAAACAATACAGTCGAGATCTCATGACAGAACACAGACCGGCTGAATGATGCTTTCATTTAGATTGCTAAACTCCAGCTTGTTTGTCTGTGTTTTCAGATCATCAGCGGCAGCGCTTCCACAATGAGGTATCAATAGCGCATTTTGGATGCGCATAAAAAAACTGCTGGATGGAAACGCCAAGATGCGCATAAATTCTAAAAATTGACAACTGAGTAGGATAAACTTTTTATCCGATAAGACAAAATGCACATAAACTACAATGGAAACACATTTACCGAATAAATTCCACCATGAACATTGAAAAAGTCGTGTGACTTTGTGCTATGAGATGGGATAAATTGACTAACCAGCTCGTTCACAGCATCGTCTCTAGGTTACGTATGTAACCATGGTTCCCCGAGGGAACGAGACGCTGCATCAAGACGCTTTGGGAACGCCCTTGTGTGACCGCGTTTTCTGTGGAGGGGTGCGGGTTGCAACGGTCTGTTTTTGAGACTGGCAATATGAGGAGCTTTATGAGGAGCTTTATGGAGATGTCTCGCTGCTCCATTGGACGGATTTGACACGTGCTTCAGAACAAAGTGTCTCGACACAGCTCGAGTTCCTGAAGGGGAACTATATGTTGATTTGGCCATTCTGAAATACCTGAGGAAAGTCTGTCATCAAAGTATTTCTGTATAATTACTGTCTTACATGACTGCGTTCCCAGACAGCAGGCATCCACCTCTAAAAGCAATGACAGCATTTATTGTTACGTCTGCTCTCTCTGAGGCGCAAGTAATTTATTACATATGAAAATTATTATATTCAATGGCTTCTCCTAGTTTTCTTAGAGATATTTAGTGCCAGTTTATCA